GTCACTTTGTAGCCGAATAACAAATTGGCTCAAAAAAATACCACCTGTAAGCACTGTTGTTCTTTGAAAAATCACATATATGAGAGCAAATGATCAATTACTTTAAAACAAAGATGAGAATTTAAGGGGGCAGAGAAACTAGATTAATGGAAATGAGACAGCTAGGACGGAACTAAGAATGTTCATGCCTTGTGAAGAATGGAACCAACGTGGCTGAACAACTTGTGTAGAAATTGCTGAATAGGAGTCTAAACTGTAAACCTTCACTGAAAACTAGGTAAAATGTTTTTGGGAAAAAAAGTTGGAGGTTGTGGTGAAAGGCAATTGGGAGGAGATTCACAGATTTAATGAAGATACAGTCTAATCTATAAATTGGCTAGTTTGCAGGAGAGAACCTGGAATAAGACAGCTCAAATCAATAATCTTAACCATTCACATTAGGATACTGGAAAGAGAAGTGCAAGCAGAAGGAAAGAAATAGTAATAATTAGAGTGGGAATTAATAAAAAGGAATAGGAAGTTAATGAAACCAAAAGCTAGTTCTTTGAAAATAGCAAGATTGACAACCTTTAGCTAGAGTAATCCACAAAAAAAGAAAATACTTAAGTAAATAGCATCAGAAATGAAAGTGGGAACGTAACTATCTGCCTTACAGAAATAGAAAGATTATAGAGGAATACTACCAATTATACCCAACAAATTAGATAACTTGGATGAAATGAACAAATTCCTAGAAAGAAAAAAAACCACCAAAACTGACTCAAGAAGAGGTAATCTGAATAAACCTATAATGAGATTGAATTATTTAAAAAACCACTCATAAAGAAAAACTGAGGCCCAGATGGCTCGTTACTGAATTTTACCAAACATTTAAAAAAAAAGAGAATTAGAACAGTGTTCACAAGCTCTTCCAAAAACAGAAGAGGGAACACTTTCCAGCTCATAAGAGGCCAGTTATTATAATGATAAGGAGCCCAGGTGGTACCACAGTTAAGGGCTCAGCTGCTAACCTAGAAGTTGATAGCTTGAGCCCACGCAGCAGTTCTGTGGGAAGAAGACATGGCAATCTGCTTCCATAAAGATTATAGCCAAGAAAACCCTATGGGTGATTCTGCTGTCACGTGGGGTCGCTGTGAGTTGTAACCAACTTGGCAGTACCAGACAGCAAAACGTTATCCTGATAGCAGACAAAGACATCACCAGAAAACTACACATCAATATCTCTTGTAAATATATACACAACCCCCCCCAAAAAAAATATGAGCTAACCAAATCCAGCAACATAGGAAAAGAATTACTCACCATAACCAAGTGGGATTTCCCCAGGAATGCAAAGTTGGTTTAGCATCTCAACATCTATTAATGTAATATATCAATATAATTTTTTTAAAATCATACCATCTCAATAGACAGAAAAAAGAATTTGACGAAATTCAATACCACCTTGTCATAAAAACAGGAAAAAGAGAACTTCCTCAACCTGATAAAGGATATCTATGAAAAACCCACTACTAACATGATTAAAGAGTAGATCCTTTTCCCCTTAGATAGGGAATAAGACAAGGATATCTACTCTGTCACTTTTATTCAACTTTGTGCTGGAGGTTCTGGCCAGATCAATTAGATAAGAGAAAGAAAGAAATGACATGAAGATTTGTTGTTGTTATGTGCCGTCGAGTCAAACCCGACTCATAGCGACCCCTCCTTGGGTTTCCGAGGCAGTATCACTATGGAAGTAGGATTGCCCAACCTTCCTTCCGAGGAGTGGCTGGTGGGTTTGAACTGCCAGCCATCTGGTTAGCAGACAAGTGTCTTAGCCACTATGCTACCAGAGCTCCCAACATGAAGATTAGACAAAAAAAAAAAAAAAAAAACACCAAACTCACTGCTGTCAAGTCGTATCCAACTCATAGTGACCCCTCCATGGGTTTCTGAGGCAGTATCACTACAGAAGTAGATTGCCCAGCCTGCCTTCTGAGGAATGGCTGGTGGGTTTGAACCACCAGCCTTTGGTTAGCAGTTAAATGCCTTAGGCACTACGCCAAGTAAAAGCGTCTCTTTGCAGAGGACATCATCTTGTGTATAGAAAATCCTAAGAAATCCATTAAAACACTATTAGAACTAATAAACAAGTTTAGCAAGGTTGCAGGATATAAGATTAATATATATAAAAAAACATTTGTAATGAACAATCCAAAAAAGAAATGAAGAAAATAACTCCATTTATAATAGCATCAAAAAGAATAAAATACATTAAAAAATTTAATAAAAGATGTGCAAAACTTATACTCTGAAAACTATAAAGTGTTGTTGAAAGAAATGAAGATCCAAATAAATAGGAAAACATTCTCTGTTGGAAGACAACATTGTTAAGATACAAACAAACAAA